TCCAGCATGAACTCTGTCATCATCCTAACCCAGACAAAGTTGCATATGTGGTCCAAGGCCTTCGCGATGGTTTTCACCTAGGTTTCAATTACAGTACTTCCCTGAAGTCGGCAACAGGGAATATGGCTTCAGCACTCCTGAACCCTCAGGTCATTGACAATTACTTGCAGTCGGAAGTTCAGTCAGGCAGGGTGGCGGGCCCCTTCTCCCAGCCTCCCTCCCTGTCCTCCACGTGAGTCGTTTCGGCGTCATCCCCAAACGCCACCAACCTGGCAAATGGCGTCTTATCCTGGACCTGTCTAGCCCTGCGGGCACAGTGTCAACGACGGAATTGCGGGGCGAGGATTATTCTCTGCAGTACATGAAGGTAGATGACATTATTGCAGGCATAATGCGGCTGGGGCGGGGTTCCCTCATGGCGAAATTTGACGTGCAAAATGCATACCGTATTGTGCCAGTCCATACAGAAGATCGCCAGTTGCTGGGTATGAAATGGCGTGGTGCCTTTTATGTCGATATGGTCCTGCCTTCGGCGTCAGGTCAGCTCCATATATCTTCACATGTATAGCAGACTTAGTGGAGTGGGTGACCGAGCAAAACTACAATGTCACCTTCCTGATGCATTACCTTGACGACTTCCACACTCTTGGCCCTCCTGCCTCCTCTGTCTGTAAACACAATTTGGACAGGTCAATTGACTGTTTTTCCAAGCTTGGCATCCCCTCCATCCAGACAAACTAGAAGGGCCGTCGACGTGCCTAACCATCCTGGGCATTGAACTGGACTCTCTTAATCTGCTGGCACGCCTTCCTCAGGACAAATTTGATAGGATAACTGCCTTGTTGGAAGATTGGTCACAAAAGCGTTGGTGTAAACGCAAGGATCTGGAGTCCCTAATAGGTCACCTTCAGCATGCCTGCAAAGTCGTACCCAAAGGTCGCTCATTCTTGCGCCCGAATGATTAACCTACTATGTGCCTTTCGACGCGATGACCACCCGATTCGTCTCAATCAAGAGTTCTTTCTTGACCTAGCCTGGTGGCAAGAGTTTTCCAGTCTTGGAATGGTTGCAGCTTTCTTCAGTACCCCCAGTGGGCTCCAATTCCTGACTTGAGGTTTCTTCAGATGCCTCTGGGGCTCTTGGTTATGGAGCAGTCTTCCAGGGTCACTGGTTTTCAGGTGCATGGCTCCCATCACAGGTCTCTCAGTCTATCGAGTACAGGAACTTTTCCTATCGTCGTGGCAGCTTACCTCTGGGGCCCCCAGTGGGCCTCCAAACGGGTCAACTTCCTATCAGATAACCGCTCAGTGGTGGACATTTTGCGGTCTGGCACTTCAAGAGCCCCTACCATCATGTCCTTGGTTCGCTATCTGTCCCTGTTGGCAGCTCGTCACTCCTTCTCCTTCACTGCCTCCCCAGTTAGAGGGAAGTCTAACCCCATTGCTGACTCCCTGTCTCGCTTTCAGTTTCAGCGTTTTCGCCAGCTAGCTCCTCTTGCAGACTCCATTCCAACCCAGATTCCGCAGCAGCTCCTCTCGGATTTGGATCTTCGCTGTCAGATAAATACCACTTCTATTTGACTCAGGGTCTTGCCCCCTCCACTAGGAAAGTCTATGCTTCTGCCCAACGCCGCTTCTTGGATTTCTGTGCTCAGGACAATAGCCTATCTCCTTCGGGATCAGCTCTTCCAGCCAGTGAAGACGTGCTCATCCGTTTCTGCTGTCATCTTGCTGATACTCTTCACCATTCATCCATAAAGGTTTACCTTTCAGCAATTCGGTCCCTTCACATTGAGGAGGGTCATCCTTCTCCGCTGGTTGGTTGCCTTGATTTACAGCGGGTGTTGCGGGCATCAAACGTCACCAAGGCTCAAATAAGCGTCAGCGCCAACCCATCACAATCGAGCTGATGCACATTATCTTCCAGTCCTTGAACTTCTCTGACTACAACCATACCATGCTTTGGGCTGCCTGCTGTCTCGGGTTTTTTGGTTTCTTACGTGCTGGTGAGTTTACTGTCAACTCTCCCTTCAATCCTGACATCCACCTTGCTGTCAATGATGTCCAAGCAGATTCCCTAGTCAATCCTAGCAGCTTCAGGATTCATATTAAGTGCTCTAAGACGGACCCCTTTCGCCAAGGTTGCCATATTTACATTGGTGCTGGTAAACGTAATCTCTGCCCTGTGCGCCCCCTTACCCAGTATCTACCGTCCGTGGCTCAACTCCTGGCCCACTCTTCCTTCTCTCTGATGGCACCCCTCTACGCCGCCAATGGCTGACATCCAGTATTCAGTCTATCTTCTCCGCTGCTGGGGTCACTGGTTGCTACACGGTCATAGCTTCCGCATTGGCGCTGCTACTTCAGCAGCCTCTCGTGGCTTACCAGATCACCTCATCAAGACACTTGGCAGATGGTCCAGCGATGCGTATCAGATCTATATTCACACTCCCGTCAGTACTATCGTGGGGGTAGCAAGCCTTCTCACTTGACAGGTATTTTCTTGCGTATCTTTCTCTTTTCCTGTTGTCCTTGTAGGGTGCCTCGGGACTTGGGTAGTTCGGGGCCAGGGCTTCCCCCAGCCCTGAGCCCCTCTTTCCCTCTCCGATCTGGCTGCGTCAGCTCGGAGAGTCCCTTCGGCTTGGAATGGGGGCTCATGGCTGGGTTGCGGGGATTTGCCAGCCATGGGGGCAGTTTTTCTATCTAGGGGCTGGCTGGCCACAGTGGAAGCCCCTGGGTATCCCAGGCACCCACCTTCCACTTAAGCGAGGCAGTTGGTTAAATTTGGTTAAATGTAATTTAACTAAGTTAACCACCACGAGCTTAAGCGGTCAAGCGGTTCTAGCGTGGCGGTCAAGCAATTCACAAGCATAGCGGTCAAGCGGTTCACAAGCTTAGCAGTTGAGCGGTCCACAAGTTAAGCGGTCTAGCGGTCCACAAGCTTAGCGGTCAAGCGGTCTACAAGCTTAGCGGTCAAGCGGCCCACAGCGTAGCGGGCATCCAGCGGTCAATCCCATAAGTGCAGGCTCACATGGTGTGTGGTAGCTTTGTACATGGCTAGGATCTGCGAGTTGTTCATCGAAAGGTTTGTGCAGTGGTCTGTGGAGCGGTTCATTTAGCGTCTTCCCCCCCCTCCCATCCCTATTTTTCTTCCTTCCACTGTTTGATCAGTGTGACGGGTGCCTGGAATGGGGGCTCATGGCTGGGTTGCGGGGATTTGCCAGCCATGGGAGCAGTTTTTCTATCTAGGGGCTGGCTGGCCACAGTGGAAGCCCCTGGGTATCCCAGGCACCCACCTTCCACTTAAGCGAGGCAGTTGGTTAAATAACATAAAATATGTTATGTCATATAACATAAAATATGTTTTGTTATATAACATGTGTCATGATATGTTATATAACGTGTGTCGATAATGATGATGATGATGATACCTTTATTAAAGTGTCAAGACTGTAATAGCGGTGTATAACCACTAAGTGGGGACACTAAAATAAATTTAAAACATAAATCAATTAATGTCACTATTCCGCTTGTAAGATACGCATGCAAACGTCACGCAAGTAAATAACGCACGCAGGCTAAGTAAACAACAACTCCATGATGGCGTAATAAGGGGGGGACACAGCCCTGTGGCAGGTTATAGCGACTTCGGGTTTTGCGCACAAAATAACACAAGCCTTACTTGTCGCCCCACTACCGTGGGGTAGGACAAGAGTCTTGGCAGAGCCTTTCTTATCTCCCCAGCGCCGCACGGGCTGGATCGGACAAGATTAAGGCAAAGGAATAGCTAAAAAGATGGCAAGACACAAGCAATGCCAAAAGCTTGGGGGAAGTCGCAACGCAGACTTAACCGCACCACAAGGAGTGACCCCCCAAAATTTATTGAGACAAAACATAACAACTACTCCTCCAAAGGGAGGGAGGGTGGGTAACAAAACTACTTTAAATGATTGCTTTCGTGCAAGCTAACCAAATAATGACTAGAAGTGGCATTTGCAAAGCTTTATAGTCAGACAGTGTCTCAAAATACGGCCAATAGGCACAGTTGTACTATTAACTATCTCAACTCATCATGACTAAGGTCTGGCCGTGAATAGAACTGAATAGGGCTTTGAATACAGGGACCAATCTTTGCGAAGGTAAGAAAATATACGATGACAAACATGCGACAACTCAGTGAGGTTCTAGCCATGAAAAGCTTTTGTTTTCTGCTTAAAGAATAGAGTGCTTTCATTTAATGAATCGAGCTTTCAAGACATCACCGAGCCTAAGACGAGGCAGGCTTTCTCTGCCTACCCCCCTGGGGCTTCATGCTCCATTAACTGCATTTACCCGCTGGTAAATGTCTCATTAATAAATTAATTAAAATTAAGAAAAACTATGTACAGTATAAGCAAGTGAGAAATTCGAGAGAACTATATACAATATGTACAATATGTACAAATGTATCCATCATGTTATGTTATATAACATATGTAATGTTATGTTATATAACGTGTGTCATGTTGTGTTATATAACATATGTCATGTTATGTTATATAGCAAGTGTCATGTTATGTTATATAACATGTGTCATGTTATGTTATATCACGTCTCATGTCATGTTATGTAACATACGTTATATTATGTTATATAACACGTCATGTTATGTTATATAACACGTGTCTTCTTATGTTATATAACATAAAATATGTTATGTTATATAGCATGCGTCATGTTATGTTATATAACAAGTGTCCTGTTATGTTATATAACATGCGTCATGTTATGCTATATAACAAGTGTCCTGTTATGTTATATAACGTGTCATGTCATGTTATATAACATGCGTTATGTTATATAACACGTGTCATGTTATGTTATATAACATAAAATATTTTTTGTTATACATGTGTTTTGTTGTGTTATAGCAAAAAATATGTCATGTTATATAACATATGTCAAGATATGTTATATAACAAGTGTCATGTTATGTTATATAACATATGTAATGTTATGTTA